TATAGAAACCACATGAGGCCATTTTCAAAATTATGTTTCACAGTTTGGGGTAATTTGCAACTGTTGTTTTAAAACCTTATAAACAGGTGCAACATGGTAAAAAATGTGAAGGGTGCCTGCAGCAGCAATACCTTTCCTCATATTTTGCCTTCTGTGGAAAGGAGGCTCTGTTCTCTGCCCAAGTCAGGGGTTAGTAGGGAGTGAAGTGTGCTCTAAAGGCTATTTATGCACTTCTTTGGTCCTCTGCAACAAGCTCCTAGGAGACTTCATCTCCCAGGTCTCTCTTCTCTGCAGCTCTCCTGGACTTTGAAGATAATTAAGGCTACTTCAATATGGATTTCATTTACAAGAAGAGACAGATTTGACACTGTTACCCCCTTTTCTTGATAACAGTTCTGTTAATTTTTATTTCTCCCACCTTAGTTAAATAGTTCCTTCTACTTCCTATCAACTGCCACCTACCTTCCCCTTTCCATTTCTCATTCTTTAAAAATAAATACCTTGCTAAGCTTTTTAGTTTCAATTTCACTTACAACTTGTACTGCAACATAGCACCCTTTTAGACTTGTGTTGGTTGATAAGCACAGCTCCCAAATGCTGATAGGGCTCCTCTGGAACATTTTGGGCAACGATGCAGAAGGCAATTAAGATCCTTTACTTGTAGGACATCAAGATTTTTTTGTGTGTGTGACTAGATTCAGTGAGAATTTATGTACAACTGGTTTCATTTTATAGATTTGGGAAAAAGAACTACACAGAATCATAATACTAATTTTACCTTTAGTTAAGGTCTGTTTAATGTGAAGTGCCCACTTTATGCTGGCAGACAAATTACCAATGGGGCAACTAGAGAATGCATGAATGATAATGTACAGACAAGCTTTTTATTATTTATTCATAGAAAACAGTAGGTTTTGGTGTGCTGCTTTGAAAAATGTTCAAACTAGTAGAATATAATGAAAGCACAGTGAAAATTCTATTTCATTAACAATTAATCATAAATCGCTCTTTAATATAAAACATAAAATAAAAGTCTGTCATAAGCACTTAGGTGTGGGGAACGGAGAAAGTCTGCAAAAAGGGGAAAGAAAATATTGTGGTGGGTTTCACTGCTCTTGTTATCTGTCACTTCAGAAGAAAAAAATAAGCGAAGAAACAACAGACTCTAGCTAAATCTCACAACTGGTCATGAAGAAACTGCTTGGATATTTCTCAAAACCTTACATTTTGATGGCTAAAAGTATTACCAATATCTATGGGCAGGGAAACAATGATTGTAGCAAAATCACAAGAGCAACAATCGTACCCAGGACTCTGCTACCCAGATAAAAAATAATCAGAATTTCAAGCTGCCAGAGCAGATTCAAAAATCTTTTCCATGAAATATCTATTACCATGTTTATTGTATAACAAGTATTCTCAAATTCCCCTTAGAGGTATACAAGAGTGATGCACAAATAACAAGCTCTTCAAGGCATATAGGAAATTAGATCTTTATAAAACGCTATAGATTACGTCCCTTTTTGAGACCTCTTGTCAGAGGGGTCTTATTCGTTACTCTACAAATACAAATGCAATATTATACTATCAATATTGATTTGAGTAACACCAGCCTGTCAATTAGCAGAACACATCTGCAGACACTGAGGACACAGGCTACAACATTTTTTAGGATCAGACAACCTGCACATCTCTGACAAAGAATAAAGAAATTCTTACTGGGGACCATTTATCAATCACTGCTATCTGTGAGACTCAGTGCCTTTCTGATAACATAGTATCTTCTTCTTCCTTTAACAGTTCTTTCTTTCCCTAAAGAATGATCCACCATCTGAGCAGAGCCCGTTCCTGCAGCCCTTTACACATTTCAATGTCAGCAGCTAGAAGAGCATGTTTGACTCCTGTCAATAGTAGTCCTAAAAAGCTAAAAAAACTGCTCAAAAAAGAGAAGAAAATAAGCATCAATTTCACTATTGTGACTTCTTTCTCCCAGCCATCATCAAAAATTCTAACAAACCAGCCAAGCAACCAAACTCTTGATTATGTTTTGCCATAAAGCAAACAAAAAAACCCAAACAAAACAAATCTAAAAGCACCTTTTTTATGTGCTTTGCTTATATCCCAGAGGCTGCTCAAACATCCAGCTCTGAGCAGCCTGCTCAGGAAATGAGCATTTAGGCAACACAGGTTTTCCCAGAGGCAAGATTTTTTTTAAAGGAAAGAAAGCCCTTGGAGAACACTTCCTTTAAGCAGCCTCCTCTGTTTTACACCAATGTGGTTCGAGCATAAAGCCCCCGTTGATCAGAGATGAGTTAGGAAGGCTGAGGAGAGGCAATCCTCCAAGCAGGCAGGTTTCAAGCTTGAGGGTTTTTCCCCCCACAGTCAAGCTCTTTGTTACCAAGTAACCTTACCAGGCATTCTTCCACTGACTTTTCTGCTGAACAGTATGGCTGCATGTGGTAAGGAATTGATGTTGTGGGCATTAAATGACAAACTCAAATTAATTGCAGAAGGCATCATTCAGGAATTGTGGGCCATTATCCCCTAACACATCCGGAACCCCAGAGTGAGTGACCTGTGATTCACAAACATGTCCCTGTGCCACATGCTGGGCAACACTTCAGTGATGAGTCAGTGGTGGTCTGTGAACAAAGGGCAAAACTTCCCATTTAATTGGAGCTGATGAAGGGCAAGGAGACCTATCAGTGCATCTCTTGGTAGCAATCCTTTTCTTGCTTATTATCTTCCCTGACTCCTGCCCATTACTTTTAGATATCTACCTTCAGAAATGGCTTCTATTCATTCCTCTCTGGGCAGGTTGGTTTACCTTTGTACAGCTCTACCTAATCAAGATAATCACTGTAAACTACTGGCATTTCTGATCTTAGCTTTCATTAGCATTTCTTCTCTTCCACATCCTCTGAACAGATACAGTCAAGTGCAGTAACTCCAGAAACAAAGTCTTTATTGCTTAGAGGAATGTGAGCTACTTTTGCTGACCTTTCACTTCCAGAAACTGCTTCAAAGACTTTTAAAGAAGAATCATCCTATTTCTTGTTGAAACGTATTTGTAAAAACCCAAACTATTAATTTGTCACTGGGTTACACAAGATTTAAGATTACCTATTTCTTCTTTCAGTTTTATCAGAACTCCGAAATCCCATTTCAATCAGAATCACAATTCTGATTTCGACCTTATTATCACAGAGAGCACTCATTTCATATGCCTACTGCTCCATTCATGATACTCAGCCTTATCACTTATTACAGCTGAGAGAACACCCAACTCCACCAATTTCCTGACTTATCAATTTCCTATAACATATTTCCAAAGTAACATTCCATTATACATACAACTTAAAGTTCTTCTGAAATTTTGCCATCACTTTGTCCAGCAATGAACCTCATCTTTGGGCTTATTACATTGCAGCACAGATGCTGATACTCCATGGCTATAGCACTGTTGCTAAATCTGCTGTCATGCATTTGTTCCCTAGAAATGTCCACCTAAGGTTTCCAACTAACAGCTTCCAGTGTTTGGGCCTTTCAGAAGAGGATTCAAGTACTTTTGCTTGTCTGCTTTTGGTGGACACTTAATTTTGATGAGGTAAGAACACAATACAGAGGTAGGTTATACAGCAAACATTTGTCCTAATTAATAAGGAAACTCTGGCATTTAATTCAAAGTATGAGAGCAGTTCCACAGTCTTCAGAGACACAAAGTTAATGTCCATTTTCTAGATTATATGGTTGCAAGAGGTTACACAGGTGCTGATGCTGATGACTATGTCATGCTTATCATGCTCATCCCTTTATTAGACTTCAATGTGTTTTTTTAAACAAAAGAAACTTCACTAGGAATTTGTTAAGTTTCAGTACATGCCAATTTTGAAATGTGCAATTATAGTTTGATACAAGACTGAATGTCCTATGTAGCACAGGCAATGACAGGCAGTCTTAACCTTTTCCAGGGTGCTCCTTTACAGCCTCTGCCTGTATTTTAACCATGCCTTCCATTTCAAAGTCTGCTTTAGGCTGACAAAATTCAGAAGGTTCCAGCTGAACCCAGAGTTCAGCTGCATGCTAGAATGAGCTGCAAATCCCACTGATATTCCCTCTGTGCATTCCAAATGCTCGAGAACAACAAATACTTACAAGTAAGTAAAAATCAGTCTTGAGGTGATTTAGTGTCCAAGAACAGTGACAACAGTTATGATAACTTTTGGTCTTACTATTGTGATTTCACATCTATGAACAAACAGACACTACAGAGACAAGGATCACAGAAAACTTTATACATGCAATTAGCATTTTTTGCATTCAATGTAAGTTTTCTATCATATGCCATGAAAAATAAGGCTTTGTGTGAGCATACGAACAATTAGTATAAAATTAAATGTTGAATAGCTGCCCATTTCACAAATATCTTTCACACAGTGTAACATGATAGAGAAGTAATGTAAAAATAGTTTGCAAGTGTGCAATTAAACCCCTTATTGTAAAGCATAAGCAAAATGGCTTGAGCAGCCTTAATTTTATGATTTCTTAACTTGTGACCACTTAGCCTTTATATGTTTATTAATTTTGTGATTTTTTTTTTTTTATTCCTGTAATTATTAGTAGATACTACACAGGGAGGAAGGACTTCTTTCACCCCCAGGCAAAGGGCATGTGACAAAAGGGCTGTGTAGCAGTCTCAAAGCTCATTTGTATTGGGCTGGAATTTCTCACAGCCTGGGCTGCCATTTTTCCCACTTTATGTTCACGAGCTCCCTCCTCGCTCTGCAGCAGTGCGTGTTTGTGGTAGTGAGGGACAGATGCTCAATCTCAACAAAGATCAATGTGGCTCCAGGGAGCACTGTAGCATCTTTTCCCTGATATTAGACTTCACTATCCTGAGGCTGTTCCTATGTGGCAGCTTATCAGGTTGCCAGTCTGTCTTTAAGATAGCTCTCTTTATCTTGTTTTTTTAAATAAGAATGTATATTTAAAAGACATACCTGTCCAATAATAAGAGGGACTACAACAGTCATAAACAGCTGCGAGAATATGGATGTAAAAGGCACAGAGGAGGATGATCCAAGCTACAAAATAAAGATATACCATTAACATTGCACTTTTTCTTACTATCTGCAAATTTCATACACAGATATCACACATTAATAAGCATTTTATTTTATACATAAAAACTATGAATTATGTGCACTGGAAGAAGCTGCACACATGTTTAATAGTTAAGTCGCAATAAAGCATTTGGTGTTACACAAAACAGAACTAAACCAATCTTTGATTATTTTATAATCTAGGGTAATATTTCCATCAATATTCATTTAATTGAAAACCTGCTATACATACGTGCCAAGTAAATTATATAAGTATTTGTAGGATGATAGTCTAAAGAGACAGGGAATGAATCCTCCTAACTAAACAGTTAGCTCGACTTACATTACCATTTATACAAACATCAAGCAACAGAAGTCGGTGTAGTTACTTCAATAAATAAATGAAAATAATGAAATAGTGAAGAAAACATCCACGTTTTATTTCAATGCTGTCAAAAAAAGAGATATGCTGGAAGTATAGAACTATTCTTTCGTTAAGACAATTGAACTGATAGTCTTCAAATAGGTGATCTCTCTAACAATAATTGTAAATGCTAGAAGCATTTAGAAAAGAGGAACACATACAGTCAGAGGAATTTTTTGGAACCTGCTTCAGAATGTTTAGGAAAATATACAGTATTTTGTACATTCTAACTGGACTTGTTTTAGGCTAAGTAATTGGAAAGTTTCCTTTAATGTAATTTAACACCTCTAACAGCAATGGAATACACATTGAGAAACATAAACTGAAACTGAATAACATTGTCAGAGTTCCCACAGACAACCACTTGCTTATGATGAGGCAAAGGACACAACATTAAGGTTTTCACAGACCCACTCTATTTTATATTTCGCACTTCACTTTAAAGATCCTCAAAATGACAACAGAATGCAGAATCTTTTCAGCACCATCTAAATGATGCAGATTTCCTAAAACATTATTACATACATTGTTCTCATAAATTATACTCAGATTGAATTATACTTTTCACACTTACCTTCCTTTCCAAGCTACCTGCATGACAGACAAGGTGATAATGAAATCTAGTAACTTTCTATAAGCCTGCCTTGAAAAATCAACATATGGCCATACAAATAGGTTTGGCATAAAATAAGATTCTTCATAAATTTGAAGAATAGAAATATCAGAAATCTTATATAGTGAAGTATTTTAATTTATGCAGAAATTTACAACTGCACTGTTTTTTTGTACCTGTACATTTGTACATGCACCACTTGGGAAATGGGTGAACACAGCTGTGAGGGATGTCTCTGAGCAAGCTGAGCTTTTGGTGCAGGCAAATGGCCTCAGATTTCATATGCCTCTTGCTGAATACACTCTGGGTGGAGAGCCTCACACAGGATCTGCCTGTTTCCTATGTCCTACCTGAAGTGGCAACATCAGCTAAGACTCAGTCTGACTGCTTAATAAATTACATCTTGTCACCATCACCCCCAGCTTTAATGATGTGGGTACATGGGAGGGGACCTGAAGATGACACCACAGCTGAGAATTTTGGTCTGCAGGTAGGGATTAAGTGAGCCTAAATTTCCCACAGAGTCAAGAGAGAGAAGTAAAAGCTTGCATTCAGATCACCCACGAATACCCAAAGTCTGGCAGTACAGCCACATTTCCAAGGGACACAGGGTGCTCTGAGTGTTTCCCTACAGAGAGCACAGACCTCCATCATCCCACTCATCATCTCCTTGTTGTTTTAATTCTTGTAAGGAGCTTCTGACGTTTTAAAAGGTTCTTAGTTTTTCAAATTATATTTGGACTCATTGTTATGTACTGGGAAGCTAAAAGCATTACTTACTGTGTATTCCAGGAAGCTTTTTCAAGTGAAAGTGAAGATTTTTAAACTTTAAAGTCTGCCTGGGCCACAGAGGAGTCAGTCTAAGCAAGTCAGGACACTTGCACAGCTTCACAGAACTACAACACTTTGGCAGTGACTCCTGTGCTTTTCTATAAAACGTTGATTGGACTTTGCTCACTACTTTTAAGTTTTATGCTCAGTGGATGCATAATCAGTTTCTAAGTCAGGGAAGAAAAACTATTCAACAGCATAACACATTGCTGAAAAAGGCATAGTCTTGCCAGCTTTTTAAATATTACTTCAAACGTAGTGTCTTCAAACTGTTGGGAATTTTTAAGCACTTTGTATATAAGGATATGTTCTGCTTTGGATGTGGAGCTTTTGGTATTTGTTGTGTTGTGTTTTTTAGATAATTACAAACTGAATTAAAGGTACTGATATTACTTCTTTAAACAGACTTCCAAACTTTGGTTCCCTTCTGCATAGTTTGACAATAATTTCAGTGGGCTGTTTTTATCAAAATCTATCTGTTAGATTATGTTTACCAATTTTTGTATTACCTTAGCCTTAAATCTGTTTCCTGAGAAAGAAACAGAATTTAAGATATAGGCTGAAGAGAAGGCACAAACTTCTCAATTACGCAGAAAATAAGGACATTTTAACCCAGACTCTGAACACATAGTGGCTAACCACAAAGAATCAAAAATACTACAGACCCCAAAGCTAATGGCAGCATACTTTGACCAGGGCTTTCTCAACATCTGTAGCATGAAAACTCACCAGGCTCACAACTCTAAGTGTCCCATGGACTCTCAGAGATTGCCTGAGCTCCAGAGTTCCTTTGAACATATCTTTTGGATATGTTTGCCACACTTGTTTTGAGAAAGAGAAGTGAGCACTGAGGAAACAAAAACCTTGATATAATGTCAATCAAACATTCCTACACACTTACAGAATGCAAATATTCTGTCTGAATGAATAAACAGGATTTCACTCAGGTTTTAGTTGGATCACAGCTAAGGTCTGTGCTCCATTAGCTGTCATGAAAGTATTGTGTGAGAACTAACTACCTAGATATGCATTGCACAGAAACTAGTATTATATTAAAATGGCTGATTATCTTTGGCTGCCCTCCTTGTTATAATTATCTTTATGCCTAAAAATGAACTATTCTTCAATGGCAGATATACTGTAAGAACTGGCATAAAAACATAATAAAATCAAACTACTGACTTATAGCTGAAAAAACACCACCCCTACCTGATTGGAATGATGTATGGAAGATGAAATGCACCACTTAATGAAAAAGGAATCATAAATTTCATGTCACCATATTGTCCATGCTTATTTAGGAACATTTTTAAAAGTTTGTTATTGAGAAAAGATTGTTACACACCACTCTGGATAACAGCATTTCAGTTAAGGGTTTAGTAATAAGGCAGCTCTGCTTTAATGGACTCACTATTCAAGAAAAGACCCTGAAAATTCTTGATTAGGGAAAGACACTTTTTACTTAAATAATCTGAGTGATTTCAGCAGAGTAACTCAGACAGCAGAATGATAATTCTAGGCAAACCTTCCCAAACAATTCTGTCACCATGCAGTACTTAAAACCTGACCTGCAGCATACTTGCTAATTTAGTCCTAGACCTTTCTTCTCAAGAGACTGCCTGTTTTATAAAAACCCAACAAATAATTTAGTGGGTTTCTTTATGAGTTTGTGGTAGAAACACTGGCTTATCCTTAATTAAAAGGCTATATTTAACTGGATATGGTAAAAAAACAAAGAGCAAAACCCAAACATCCTTGCATAAAAAACAAGACAATTCCATCTCCCAGCCTAGACTGTCTCCACAAGCCAGACACTCCATTCTCATCTTTCTGGCTGATCAGGCAGGTATCACAGTGGGTATTCCCATGCCTACACTGCCATGGACTCAGAAGAAACACATCATCTCAGTCCCACCAAATTACAGCCCAGTGACACATGTGCCACACACATTGCATCCACTTTGGAGCAGGCTGTCCTTCGGGAACAGCTTTTACTCTCCCAGTGCTCTCCTGCAATTAATGCTTCCTCAGGTTGTCTTTGTGCTCTTTACACACCATCAACCAGCTTCAGCCTCACCAGTTGTTGAGCACAGAGGAGGAAGGGGTGAAAAGAGGGCAGAACTGATGGGGAGGGTCACTATGGGCTGCTCTTTTACACAAGATATTAAATTTTAAGCTTTTGTTTTCTACATTCTGGTGGAAAGGCATGGCTACTCTGACACCCCCTTTAAATTTTACACTCAATGCTGTATTGTCACCACTTCTGGTTCCCCTCACCCAGCCCATATCCAGCTGCCTCAGAGGCCTGTCTGGAACACCCCATGCCCCAGTCCCTTTACATCTCTTGTTGGGGATGGCCAGCCCATTACAGAAAGGCCACGGAAAGCAATGCACTTTTGGAAAAGATGTGGATGGCATCCAGTTTAGTGATGAAGGGCAAAGAACAAGAGTTACCAGCTGAACAAAACCCTCCCTTGCTTTGGACTCCTTCCAGAGCCCTTACCCTGACCGAGTCGTTGCAGCATGTTACAGTAGAGCAGAAAAAGAAGCCCATCTCCCTCAGTAACCCAGAAATGGAAATGCTGTGATGGGAACCACCATGGGCAGCAACGACGCTGAGGCTCTGAGAAGCAGGGAGTAGTTGGAAGAGCGCTGATGTGCTCCTGTGAGTTCCACAGTGCCCAGCTCCAGATTGCAGGCAGGAGGTCGAAAGAGGTCATTCCCACATAACATCTAAGCAGGGCTGACAGGTCACTGGGGTCTCCTTCCCACCCCCCTGCCTACAGGCAGCCACACACACAGCATTCCGACAGCTCCGTAAGGCACAGAAACCGTGCAAGGGATGCCAGCAACCAGCCACTGACCAAGAGCCATTGACTGGTACCAAAATAATCCACCTGGAATGGGTGGAAGGGAAGGGGAGGCATATCGCTGAGATTGGAGTTTCTATAGGACATGTCTAAATTTAAAAATAAAGGTTTTAATCACACTTGTCAAAACCTGCAAATTGTCTCTTGCCTCAGAAAGAGATGGCATGTGATGCTTTGGCAGTCATGTATTTTAACAAAGAGATCTTTATTATTCTTAAAAATGAAACTTAAATCCCCCAGTTCT